GCAGAGTTTCGTGAATGTGGTTGGACTGCAGTAGTCGATAGTTTCAGAATCAGAAAGCAAGCTTTCAGTCAGTGCTGCAGGTTAAATGATCTATGGGCGACAGGGGCAACGAAGATCATCCAGGAGAGAAACATTAATCCTCCAATCTTGCGAAAGCGTCAACCGTGACAATGGATATGAAATGTGCACGAACTGGAAAAGCGTCGTTGCCCCTGTCGCCCAAAAACCATATAATCAGCAGCATGAACCGAATACTCGCCTTCTGACTTCAAAACAACTGACTGCTGCGGACGACCAATCACATTCTTGAAACTTCACCACCAACCTATCTTGAAAAGAAGGCCTATGAGACAAGGCCAAAACTTCATTATAGGTGAGTCACCGGATTGACTACAGTATCTCTTGCGCTGTGTATAAGTAAACCGTGTTTTAAGCTATTTTTTCATTATCACCACCAACGCTCAAACGAATTACTTCATCAGTAAATAAATTTCACACAAAAGTGTCTGCACAATGGAAAAACTTTAATAATTCGCAACCGGGAAAAAATTATCCCCCTGTTCATTACACTAATGGATCTGGTAGTAAATAATTCGAAATAAATTCAAGGAAAAGTAAGACATAATTTGTGCGCTTCAGCCACACGTTCATCTACTGTTTAACCTTGTTTGTAATCACGTTGAGCCGTGTGAATAAGCAAACCGTCTCTGATTCGTAGCTCTTGTGCTTCGTACACTCGTACTGCCTTACGATACTTTTGTTACGGATCTGCTACCCCACTGTAGAAAAAAATTCCTTTTCGAAAGCAGATCTGCCTGAACCTATCTATTATTCTGCCATTAACCTTTTTCAGGCAAATCATGACTGAGTTATGCAGGTATAATTGCTATAGCATATGGCAGTAGCGTCAAGCGACAGCATTCCATCTTTCATAATTAACCTTTATAACAGTACCTTTATCCGGACCGGACTTTATAACATTACCGATATACCGCACCGGGCAGTAGGTCTGGAAAGTCTTCACGGAGATTTTTCGATGTTTTAAGTTTATTACCCCAAGTTCAACTTAAATGCAGTTCGGCAAAATTTATTCTAAACATTGTTTTGCATTTACCAGTTTTCAATTTACGTTGAAATGCTTCCGGTATGCAGTGCATAAATTTGGCAGTCGTCAGAGAGTATGCTTGTTGCAAGACACCTGTTATTTTTGTATTTCATAGCTGTACTTATATTTAACATACTGCTCGATGTTTTTCACAAATTTAGAATTAATCAGGTTTTCCTACATCTGAAAATGCATAAACTATGAACTATAAAGGGTTATTAAGAGAAAAAAACAGGCGGATATGAGGCGTACGTGGTCACCGGTTCCCGCGAAGTGAATACACATTGGTCGTCTGCGGTCCGAGTTCCATTTGGTCGGCAGTACCATCTGAAATTGCACTAAACTAACCGGTGGAGTGACTAGGTCAGGAAAATGGTCAGCGAAAGGCGAGACGAAGTGTCCATCGACCACACGAAATTGTCTACCGGAGGCTACCTGCAAGTGACATTGGTTGACAATCATCGATGTCACTCTGCCTCACAAGTCAACGCAAACCTTGTCGATGTATATCGGATAATTTTGGTCCAGAGCCGCCTGAAACTTCGTCCTGTCACACATTTTCCGACGGAACAGCATCAACCTGAATAGTAAGACTCCATGAAATTAGAAACACGAAATTACCTGTTTACTATGTAATGTGGAGAATCAATGGTCACTAGACGTCTCATCTCTTAGCGGAAAAACAAAAACATTCTGATATGAACAGAATTAAAACTTGCATAACTTGTGGCAAAAGGCAAAAATAACTTTAGCAACTTCTGAATTTATCTCCAAAATGAGTACACGAAAATCGCCGAAAGTGTATGATTTTTTTCGCCGTACAAGTCCTAGGAAAATTTTAATTCATCCGGTCGTAAAGCGCTGTAAAAAGAATACCTGAGCAAGTCTTGGGGTCTTCCCCAACCGTCAACGAAAAATCTCGACGTGATCAGGCGCTGATAGCAGCAATCGAGCAGGCTTACAGGGGATGTCATGTCCGATACGACGGGAGCAGCAAAGGAACAGCACAGAGAATAAAGCTACAACAGACCATGCGACCGTCAGATGATAGCTAAGGTGCAGGTCTCGTCCTCAAATCATGAAATTAGCATAACGAGGCAATTAAGAGCAAAGAAAACATCGTAAAGCTTTGAAAACATAGTCAGTATGGAAAGTTCTACCCATATGAGTCTACAGGCTTGCCTTCAGTTCATAAAGTATGGAAAAACACTGTAATACACATTCTTCTTAAGGACTTCGAATACAAAAATTTAAAGTGCCTGACTAATAAAATTGTCCGACACCTCAGAACTGCAGATCTGTAACGAACTATCTGCTCCCAAAATCTAACGTCAAAGTCGTCGTCGGGAAAAGAGAGTAATTACCAGAATTCAAGAATCCTTAGCAGAGCAAGTAAAGAAATTTATACTCCTGAGCCGTTGCGGCAGTTCTGAATACTTTTAAACAATAGGCTAACGAAGTAATGATATTCAGATATGACAAGGCTAGTAATACTTATTCAAAACTACTAATGATTTCAGAACAAAGCGTAATTACATTTCGTACCCTCGACCCTTTCAGAGGAGAATAATAGCTCATGGTCAAAGCGAAGGGAAATTTCCTAACGAGGTTTAATGAACGATTCCAAGGAATGGAGAAAAATACTGCTCTTTGGGCCACCGTGATTACCAAATGACAGACGGAACCCTCCGTTTATTCATGATGACATAAATGG